GCTAAAATATAGATCCCTAAACCTTTTTTTAAAACGATTTCCTTAAAACTGCATTATTCTCGTGAGTGGCTCGATTTTGGTGAAATGGCAATTTTATTATACAAAAATTTAAGATAGTGGTAGCTTATAGAAGGTAGGTTAGGTTAGGTTAGGTTAGTTATTTATTTAGTTACCTTTTTTTGCGAAAAAAACGATTTGTCAAACAAACCGGATGAACTTTAACATCTACTCGAGTCGCGAGGTAATTGAAGTAAAACAACTGTGTCTCTCGTTTGTATTTCACATGAAAATGTGTAGTGAAAATGTATATTGTGAAGATCTCGTTCTTCTATGTATATGTATAATCAAATACTGTAAAAAATGTTGGATCCCTTAGTTTCTTAGCCTTAGCTTTAGTATTCGATATCAAAAATAATTAATCAACAAAATATTTAGATAAAGAACTAACTGACTCCAAATCAAATATTTTCGAAGTTGGTGCCAGCCGATACAAATCAAAACAAACCGACTTCGAAAATATCTGATTAGGTATGTATAGTAAATGAAAATTACCATTCAGTTATTTTTTACTTTTTAGTGTTTTTTTTTTTTGAAGTCGGTGTTTATTTTTTTGTTATCAACTATATCGGACAGCAATGTACGTGAAGATGAAAAAAAATACGGTTAAGGATTTTTAAGTTTACAAATTAAATCTGTTTTTTTCTGGACTTTAGTAATATGTTTTTGTCAATATAAGAGACTATTGAGTTGTAAAATTTTAAGAAATTTTCTACGGAAAAGCGGGACATCCTTTTTTTTTTTTTTTATAGTTGGGAAATCCTATTACGGATACCACCCGACTTCCCCCGGGGTGGTTATGTGGAGACTCTCCGGCTAATGAGACCGGCATACCCACTAAAACCCAACTTTCCCCCTCTGCCGCCATGTGAGGCGCCACGGGATCGCTCTCGCATACAACCGCGACGCCCCGACGGTTGGCCGAAGCCACCAACCATGAGGCCGCCCCAAGCGGGACAACCCCATTATGGGAAGACTTACAACCCAAAAAGTGAGGCCGCTCCTAAGTCCACTCTGCTGATCAGAGAAGTACCCGGAGCAGCCCCACACCACACAAACACCGCCCACCGAAGTGGGCCACCTCCAATCGGCTGCAGAGGACAGGGAGAGCGGCAACGAAACACCGACACTCCTCTTCCCCTGCAGCCCCACCGCGTCCGCCATCAAACGGTGGCGGCCCCGTCTAGGCCGCGGAAGGTAGGGAGAACGGCGCACCGAAATACCGGCACTCCTCTCCCGCCGCGGCCTACCCCTCCGCCGAATGCGGGCCTGCGACCACAGTCCCGCAATCGGCACCCATCATCCGGTTGTGGGACCAAGCGGTCCCACCACCGGTGGCCGCAACGTCTTCGGCTCGAGGCCTAGACGAGCGGCCCCATCCAAGCCATTTGGTCCGCGCCGGATTTCTCCGGTACCACCCGCCCCTCTAAGCGGGTGGCATGCCCCTATCCGCCACCTGGGGACGCGCCCGGTAGGAGTTGGCTTCTCCCCCGGGAAAGCGGGACATCCTGGCACAGGTATATATTTACTTAAGAGGATGTCCCAACAACGGACTTAATGTATTTAAAAACTCTTTTTAATAATAAATCATTTTTCATTTTCATTTCATTTTTATATTGCATATCACTCTATCCTTTCCATCGAAAGGAATTATCTTCCCACCAGAGTTGTAGAGTGAAAGGAATAAATACTGTAGGTACTTGTTTTTGGGCGCATTCTTATGTACTATAATATGTCCTGCAGCGAAGGCTAGTCTCATTGAGATTGCCAGACGTGACCGAAATTGGCCGTAATTTTTTATAAGTATACGTAAATATTATAATAAACACTATTTTTTCAGTTTAATTACTTTTCTTGTTTTACAAAACTAATAAATGAAAATTATATAAACAACAGTTAGCTGCAAACGAAAACTTAAAGTACTCTCACATAAGCGTGTAATCTTAGAAGAATAACAGGTATTTGTCAAAGTAAGTAACCTTCGAGATTCACTTAAGAGAAAAATCTAAAGGTACAGGGATACGCAAACACACACACACATTTCTGTTAGCTTTGGACGGCTTCAAAATATTGTTCTTTTCCTTTAACGGGCCAGTGTTTAGTAGAATTGTGTTTTTTTAAAAGAGTTTTGCTTAAAATATTTTTGCGGATTTAGGTCACATTTGTCAGATTAAAACTAAAAGTTTTCTATTTTATTAGTCTCAAACGCAAAAAAAGGGGTACTATAAGTATAACGTATGTAGCAGTGTCTGTGTATCTACGTGTCTGTCTGTGGCATCGTAGCGCCTAAACGGATAAACCGATTTTAATAAAAAAAAAATGTTTGAAAGATGATCGAGATTCTTAGCTATAAATTAAGAATATTTATTCAGGCGTTTGCAAGCTATCAGCTTTTTTCTTCTTCTGCTGCAGCGTCACTTGGAGTGATAACTCTTTACTATACTGCAGTTATATCTTGTTGAGGCTCATTGAAATGTCTTCAATGAATAGATTAGTTAGGTTTATAGTGTTAGGGTTTTTTAAGTAGTATGGGTACTATCTTTTAATTAGATATTAATTAATTATCATGTAGTTGTAGTAGTAATTTGGCTATTGGACTACTATTTTAATTGGTTTCACTTCTTTACGCCAAAACGGCTTGACAGATTTGGATGACATATAGTATACAGATAGACTAAAACTTGTAGTAATATATACGCCTCTGTTTAACACCTAGGAAGAAATGCGAACGAAGCGTGGTTTAGTCGCTAGTATATATAATATATAAAAATCTTGTGCCACAGTTTATACTCCTCCGAAACGGTTTGACTGATTTTGATGAAATTTTATATGTACATTCAGTAGGTCTGAGAATAGGTTTATAACCAATTTTTATATCCCTAAGTGTTAAGGGTAGCTCACCCCGAAAAAATATTTTTCATTTTTTGGCCAATTTTTTTTGGTTATATTTTTATGGTGTGCTCCATGCCGCTTTCACTCATATACCACATACGCACACACTTACAATAAATGAGATATATTTTCATACTCTAGAAATAATTCATATGGCAAAACAACGCTTGCCGGATCAGCTAGTAATATATATATAAGTTGATCTACAATGAGCGACAAATACATGATGGCTATATACCGTTAGCTATCTCCACCCTACATAATGTATAGGATTATATTGTATTATGGCACGTTTATTTAAATTTGATTTAAAACATAAAAGAAGAGGATAAAGGATCAAAGTAGTAATTGAATATACGAGACGGCTCATCCAGTTTTCTGCTTTACTTCTTCAAACTCAAAGGCCGTACATAAAAGTCTATATTCTTTTAAATATTTGCACGTAAATTAAAATTTAAATATTACATATTTCTATAGCTTTTTTAATATTAGTTACGCAATGGGTGAATATTAAAACGAAAAAGCATTTCTATTTCAAAGTAGATATCATAAATTTTCATTGACATTAATATCTAAAATAGAATTTTATTTATTATAAGTTATATATGTAGGTATTTTTTAAAAGATACCTCTCGAAAATTGGCGTTCTATATGAAGGTTTTTAATTTAGATTTAGAAAAGTCTTTTTGAATTTTTATATTCATTTTAAATAATAAAGAATTTCATATTACTAAGAAGATTAAAAAGCTGGCAGAATATAAAAGTTATAAGAGCTATATTAAGAATAATATAAGATATATATATATATTTTTTTTTTGCTCTCTCTCTCTCTATATATATATATCACTTTGAGACGTCTAACATCTCTCCCGTCTACGGTCTCTCCCGTGACCATGATTGCTGTAAAGCATTCGAAACGTCAGGAACCAAAAATCTAAATAAATCCGCGAAATAATCCGAAAAGATAAGTTTTATTTAAAATAAAACATTGTGATTTTTTACAATTAATTTATCACATTAGTTTATTCTAAACCTATTTAGACGTTATTATAGACACTGTCATCATAACAACTTTATCTGACCAAGCATTAGCAAGTCACTAAATGTTAAAGAGGGTGGAATTCGTAGATAATTGCTTTTGGATGAGTATTTAAGGCGGTATATATATATACAATTATACAGTATGTATATACGTCTTTTAAAATACTTTTGCGCTTGTTATTTTTTTATATTTACCTATTTTGTATTACCCTTACTTATTACATAACTACCTCGGTGGTCTAGTGCGTAGCATATACGGCTGCATACCCGGAGGTTCTGAGATCGAATTCCAGGTTGGACCAAGTTCAGTTATTGAATATTTCATTAAAGAAATTATCAGTAACAGCCGGAGTTGGGAAGTTGGCGGTATTTCACCCCCGTGCCTCGGAGAGCACGTAGAGCCGTCGGTCCTGCGCCTTAACTCTCACCGGTCGTGTCGAGCAGTCGTCCCACCGGAGTATGAGAGTGACAGGAACAGAGAGTGCACTTGTGTCTGCGCGTACACTTGTGCACTGTAATATCTCCTGCGTGTGATAAAATTTGCATATCTAAGGAATAATATCTGAGACGTTAAGGTATAAGCAAGTGGAACCTCGGGTAAGAATATTTATTTATAAAAACGATGTGTTTTCTTACAAAGTGATAATTAAGTATTATTTATGTTCTTCCCGAGAGTTAATGAAATATGAGCAAATTCATGTTAAAATTAATCAAATTAAATTATAATATTTGCCAAAATTTAAACACAATTGTCAATATAGTACATAATAATTTTCTTAAAGTGTCAAATTCACAATGATGTTAAACAAACCTAAGTATCCCGGTAGAATGGAATATTCAAATTAAAATATTTGAACACTAACAATATCATACTAAAACGTATGATGTGAGATGAAAAATCCCACACAGTATATTATATTTTTACGATCGCGTTCTGAATGAAATACAAGCGCTCGTATCCGTACACGTTCGTGAAACCGATGGACCTTCTAGTGTTGTAATAAGTGTTATATTTGCATGCGTTGAATTAGATAATGAGTTTCGGCTGTAGCTGCCCTAGTTCCATTTAGGCTTTGTTTTAAAACTTCTCGTCGCCTGCCAAATGCGAGGAAAGGAATGAGGTCGGGAGGTCTCGTTAGGGGTTTTTCTTCTCTATCTATATTTTCCTTTGGTCGAGTGTGTTCGCTTTGAATTGGTATAGTGTTGTTGTGGTGGATGTTAGTGTGCTCCACGCAAAATATTGGTTTCATTGATACTTATTTTTATGTTTAAAAATAGCTGTGTTCACAGTTTTAGGTTTTTTAAAATGTATTGCTCTAATTTTGAAGTCAACTTAATGTCCTATCTGATTTCTCAGTCACGACAGACGATGTGGGCGTAAGATATTATAGTACATAGTGTATGGGCAGATATAAATGCCAATGAATACTTTTAACCTTTATATTCGGGTGGGATGACCATTCGACATGATCTTGCTCTCCGAGTCACGAGAGTATAACTATCCCTTAGACCCAACTCCGAGTTGCTACTGTATGGCGGAACAGAAAAATCCACGAATTAATATCGACCACTAACTAGATCAGTAAGGCCGGTAATGTATGTTGCGGTAAATTGTATCAAAGGTCTCAATGCAACATATTAATGTCTAAAACATTATTTTTACACATACATACATAACACATAATACACATAATACATAATACAAAAAGGCAATAGTAGCCCAGTGGTAACGCGCTCGCTTATAAATCCGAGTGAGTCGAGTTTAAGTCCAGAGCCTTGAACCTTTGATATTTTCATGATCATCATCCTTGTCTTGCTGATCTATTAAACTCATACCCAGCAGTGGGACGTTAAAAAAGGCTGAATACATAGAACTTTCATACATATTTACCAAATAATATTATATTTTCTTTTTTTGTTATTTATAATTTTATTATTTTTTATACGTAGCTTACATTCTAATTCTAATACTCAAAGCTCAAATTGAAGTATTATCTCATATTGCGTTTGTATAGTCCGGTTTAAAGTTTCAGTTTTGATTTTCGCATAGGTATATTTCTAACTGAAAAAAATATTTTAAAAACGCCTCTATTGTTCTCAGTTACAGTGTTATACTCGAAAGGTGGCCGGCTTTTGTTGTCGGTACAATGACTGTTTATTAAACCTTGCAAACGGTATCATATGGACTGAATTTTTTAAGTAAATATTTTTGAAATAGGATAATAGAATTCATATATGTTTTATCAATGTTTTTATATACATGCTTGTTAATTTTAATAGGGCCGATATATCATGAAACTTCACAAATCTACATCTGAATAATATACGAATCTGTACGTTTAATATTTTTTAGGAAAATCTTATTGAAATATTCATTATTATCGATACATAATTCGAATCTAAAGCTTTTAGAATTTTTGTCTGTCTGCCTGTCTGGCATCACAAGAAAACCACTAAACAGATTTTGACGAAATTTGGCATGATAATAGCTGGTTATATATCAGTCAACATATAGGATACTTTTTATTGCGGGAAAATATCTCATCTCTGAGAAATCTGTAGTAAGCGTTAAAACGTAAGTATTAAAATAAGAATATTATACTCTCTTAGATTTACGCGAATAATTGACATCAATACATATAATAAAATTGTAACTAATCCGAATCTGTACATTAATTAATATTTTTTTGGAAAATCTTATTGAAAAAAGAACATTATTATCGATACAGAGGCCGAATCTATAGTTTTTAGTGTTTGTCTGTCTGTCTGTTACCGCATCACAGAAAAACCACTGGAGCGATTTTGATAAAATTTGGTATGGCGATAGGTGGTTATCCGGGTCAACATATAGGATACTTTTCACCGCGGGAAAATATTTCATTTCTGAGAAAAAATATAAAAACTGCATTGTAAGAGTACTATACTCATATGTAAAACCTAAGAATCATCTGAACGCGGGCGGAGCCGCGGGCAATGCTAGTTTTAAATAATACTATATTTTTGGACCTTTTCGCGGTTTTTATTTAAAACTAGCGGCTCACCCTCGCTTCGCTCGGGTTCGTCGCGAGGTACGTTTTAAATAGATATAAATAGTTATTAGCCAGCATTAGCCATATAATTTTTTTTTGTTAATAATATTGACAAATATTGACATTAATATTGATACGATTCTAACGTCACTCAATTGCCATCAATGTTTTGCCTTCCCGGAACCTCTCCACTAACACTTAAACTTTATGTTATGGTATTAAAGTTCAAATTGACTTTTAAGTATTATTACGAATCTTTTGTATGGGAGTATAAAAAAGTGTTGTTTTTAGACTTTTTCAGGCAATTTTTTAAATTTTTCTCTCCGTAAAAACCATCCTCGTACTTCAAGAAATATTCTAAAAAAAGAATTAGCGAAATCGGTTCAGCTGCTCTCGAGATTTGCGCTTACCAACACATTCAGCGATTCATTTTTATATTATAGAATTAAAATAAGAATAGGCTTTTGAAAGTTTGTGTGTGCGTATATTTTTTACTCCTTCGCGCTAAAACTGATCTATTATAGCCTAAAGTAACAAATAGACTACTATTTTGTACTTAAATTATTTTGTTTTTTACATAAATTGTTTTGTTGTTTATGCATTATATCTGTACTGACATTAAAATACATAATTTGTCATTTTTATTAAACGATTAATTCGCTTGTAAAATAAAATTTTAATGAAATATATTTTGATGATTTCACCAATTTTCATACTTAAATAATTAAACTACTTAAATTTAAACGTAAATTAAATATATTTTAATTTAAGTTTTATACGAATGTAAGTTTATTGTGTATTCTCAGTACATTCTACCTAATAGACATGAAAAGTCAAATAAAAATGCGACATAACTTCGGATTTACGTGTTACGTCAGCGGGTAATCTCTAACAACTTTTCACTCGGGACGGATTAGGAAGTATTTTATTAAGAGCTTGTGAGCTTACAAGTTACTTGTTGCCTTATTAAAAGCTTTTAGATGTTAGCACGCGTGCGATACGATCATGCGAAGTTCGAGAAATATACTATTTTTTAATGTTTTCAACTGACTTCGACAAGAAAATAGGTAGGCAATTACATAGTATTATTGAAGACTAGCGGCTTATCCGCGCTTCCTTTGAGTGCATCTCTAGGTACCTTTTTTTTTTGAACGAAACTCTATTAAAAGTCCCATCAAAATTAGTCCAGCCGTTTTGGTGATAAGCCGGAACAAAAAAACAAACAGACAGATTGACAGACAAAAAAAATATGTAATTTTATATGTACCTACCGTATATAATTCATTGCATGCATTAGTTATTTTAACATTACAGACAGATACTTCAATTTTATTTATATGTATTGAGGTATAAATAAAAACATACGATGTCAGTATTGTGCAAGCAATTTTTTTATATATTTCTTTAATTAAAATAAAATAAAAACCGACTTCCAGACACTAAAATGTAAGAAATAACTAAACATTTAGAAAAGATACATAATGAGATATTTTCGAAACCGGTGCCAGCCGAAAATATTTTAAGATATGAATATCTAATAAGTAAATATGATTAGGTATGAACTTTAATTATAGTTAAAATATTATACATCAATTTGTGATTTATTTTACGTATCGAAATATATTAGATTTGCATTGCATCGGCTGGCACCGACTTCGAAAATAACTGATTAGGTATCTATTCTAAATGAAAACCACCGTTTAGTTATTTTTTACATTTTAGTGCCTGGAAATCGTTTTTTTTTGTAACACAATATGTAATATAATCTTGAATTTCTTGTACAACTAAGGGTTACCAGAAATGTACAAGCTGTACGCTGGCTTTTGGTGTACAAAGAACTTTAACATTTTTTTCCATTACCTCATAACATAAACATTTCGCCCTAGCCCGAACAATAATTAAAACAATTATCCTTCTGTCTTTCTGATCGCATTCGCTAACCTCTCAAACGATTATATTTTACAAGACTGTTAGTTTTTCAAATTAGGGTGATATAGTGACATTTTATCCGGGAAAAACATATAGATAGAAGAAAGCCTTTACCGAGTTCAAACAAATTTTATTATCTAAAAGGTGAGTAAGGTAAGGATAAACATATGATATTTAATATATATATATATATATATATATATATATATATATATATATATTAAAAAGGAAACTTCACTAACCGTACAAATATCTCTTAAAGATCCGTTGCGACATCACGTACAAACAAAACTACGTAGTTTTGGCTACGCGTCTGAATGGGTGTATCGTATACACCACGCATCGTAGAGCCTTACGAGTGGCACGCTAAGAAATATATATAGAAATATATCTAAAAATGTATCTTTTTTTATGAAATGGAATCCATACATCATATAAATCAGTTCAGCCGTTTCTGCGTTAAGAAGTAACAAACATATACACACAAACACATACTTGTAGGTCTGTACACATTCTCATTTATAATAATAATGTGATTTAATTAACAAGTTGTGATAATTTTATACGATTGCAGCAAGTCTCACGTTCAGTGATAATTACGAGTATCAGTGACTTAAGAGTTCTACGTTGTACGATACTGAGAGCAATGTATGCAATACTAATTTTGTTCGTGGCCAATCACAGCAGTGGGACGTTAAAAAGGCCTGAATAAATAAATATGTTGGGACATTAAGACACAGCGCCATCTAGTTCCATGGTAAGCTACGAGGCTTGTGTTATGGATACCACATAGTTAATACACTACACATTTATAAACATTAAATACATACATATTATAAATATAAACACCCATTACTGTAGTACAAACATACGTGCTCATCACACAAATGAATTCCCCCAGCGGGACTCGAACCCGCGACCACTGACACAGCAAGTAGGGTCACTACAAACTGAGCCAAACATGTCAAATACCAATCACTATAGCTGTACACTGTACAGTCGGTAAAAACTTGTGTTTCTTGAACCGAAGATTATTATCCACTAGTACGTTGAAATTTCTTGCTTCGCTACCGGTTTCAATTTCCACCTTTTGTAATTGAATTATTGTCTCTTTTAATTATATTATTTTTTGTAATTATTTTTCAGCTTCGTAAATATTAAATTAATTAGTCGGATTTTAGATGAGTTAGATGAATAAAATAATCGTATCATCTATACTGATATAATACAGAGGCAGAGTTTGTCTGTCTGTCATCCGTTATTTTAACATTTAAAACTTCATGCTACTTTTC